GCGGGCTCCTCGGCCTCGGCGTCCATGCCGGAGTTCTCCATGCCATCCGGGGCCCCGGCCGCCACCGTGATGATTGTGGAACATTGTTATTTATTCTTTTTTTTTTTTTTTTTTTTTGAATCTGAGTAAGATACTTCAGAACTAGATGCATAATTGGGTTTTGCTTTGGTTTTATCGTTTATCTTTTTATTTCTTTTGGTGGATGTCGAGTGTCTTGGTTTGTTTTATTTGCTGTAGATGCAAAGGAGGAATATTCTTGTGAAGTGGCTCTGGTTCCCTTGACTAAATTTTAACTGAAAGTTCAAAATGAAACTAAAATGTTTCATATTTGTAAAACTAAGGCTATATTCAGGCTTAACATAAAACAGCTAAGAAGCCAGATAACTTATCAGATATCAAGTTGAAGTATTGCGTTGGCTAGGAACTGAAGGTCAGTGTTGAATTCAGATGTTTATTTATATATATGCAGCAGGCTGGGCAAGGTTTTGAGTGCAAAGTTTGTTGCTGGACTGCGTACTAAGTCCTGAGGTTCATCTTGTCCTTCTGAATGACCATGTGTGAGAAAGTAGCAAGACTTTGAGTTCTAAGAGGAAAAAAGCCTGAAGATATAGAAACTCAGAAGCTAAGCAAATGCACTAAACATGTCAAGGGGTATGGGAGAAGCACGGACAACTCCTACCATAAATAGAAATGAGTGGAGATACCTGGACATGAAACAATTTAAATTTCTAGGTACAACAAATCAAGTAGGGTGGGTGGTTCCCAAAGAATGAAAGTGAGAATCCACCTTTCTGTCTCTCCCTCTGTCTGTGAATCTTGCCTGTATTCAGTCAACTCGTTTGTGTTGTAAGCCTGGAGTTCTTGACTAACCACCTCTTTAATGGCTTTTTGGTTCTGGATCTGTGAGCTGAGACAACAAGAAAAAAGACAATAATTAATGCAACTCTGGCCAAGTATGGGACTGAAAATTTAGAAAGGTGGCTCAGTTTGTGTTGGAGGGACAGTAAAAGTTCTCTTTCACTTCAGTCACAAATTAGTAATACTAAACGCCTTGCTGAGTCAAGCCAATTTTATATAAGGCAGAATGAATAGTTTCAGGCAGCTTTCTTCTACTTCAAACTTGTCTGACACAAAGACTGAGAAATACTATAGTTTAAGTAAGGAAAGCATCATGTATAATTCATCTCTCTCAGTTAGGATTTGCATAACATCTGAATGGAGAAATTACATGATTGCATTCTCTGGAATGATTCAGATTTCAGCAATTTTGGAAGTTCCTTGAAAGTAGCTCTGTGCACAGAATGCAAATCAAAGACATGGATACCATTTGATTGCATGAAAATAAACAAGAAACCAGATCTTGCTTTTGGTTTTTATTTTACTTTTTTGGTTAAAAATCCATCTTTATTAAGAAAAGTGCATCAGCCTCACTATTATGCTTAACAAGAGATACTAGAAAACATAAAATTCTCATTTGAGGTCTCCTCTTATTCGGGGATGGAGGCAGCCTGTATTTTCACATATTGAATTGTGAATCGGGGTTGTTGCCCTCAAGACTATGGTTCTGCTCTATCTGCTTCACATCTGAAATTCTCAATGATAAGTTACTCCTCTGAGAACAAAAAAGGAAACTGTAGTATTCATGTAGTATTTGAAAAAGACAGCTCAGAAAGCAATGATAATTAGCATATGAGTAAATATGAGAGTACACAGCAGCTGAAGTCATGCATAAGGAACCCTAAAAGAACAAGCAGGCAAGTGAGAAAAGTTTAAGCTAATGCTCAAGAAGCAAGGGAGTGTCACTTAAGCGAGTGTCACTGTTGGACCGCAGAAGCAGCTTTAAAACACTATATCTCTGTGTATGTGCATGTGTGTGTTATCTGTACATGTGTGTAGAACTGCAGTGGGAAGCCATATGTTTTGTTTTGTTTTATTTTTTATGTATTTGATAGAGTCTTACTATGAAGCGTGGACACATTGTAATCCTCCTGTTTTCAGCCTCCCCAGCACTGGGATTACAGGCATGCACCATGAGGCCCAGACTCTGGCAGGCTCAGTGGGCCCAAGGGAGGAGCCAGCGCAGCATGTAGTGCTCAGGATAGAACCCTGGTCCCTGCTCTTGCCTAAGCAGATGCTTACTCTGCTAAGCTATCTCACTGGGCCTGGAGAGGCAGATTTGTTCTTTTTGTGCCAGGACTGAGTTAATGAAGCAGATGTCAAAACCACAGAATAAAATATGGAAATAGCCTATATTAATGAGAAGAAAATTTAAATCTACAAATATATCGATACAGTTATGAGTCTGATTGGGAGTAGATGGCCTATGTGCTCTGGGGAAAGACTGCCAGAGTTTTAAACTTATGTGACCATGGGAAAGTCAACACTTAGCTCTGCTGTGCCTCAGTTGTCAGACTGGTAAAGTGGGCTATGTTTATGTCTTCATTATCAAGCTATTTACAGAAGTAAGTGAGCTTGCGTCTGCTTTTCTGTAAATGTGCTAGCATCTGCCAAGTTCTTTAAATTTTTTTTAACACAAGGTAAATAACAAATGTTTGTTATTTGTAGATATGTAAAATTCTGCATTATTTTTGCAAGTGAGTTTACTTTTGGTTTGTTCATCTTTCTCTTTTTTCTCAAATAATTTTTGAAGATTACTGTGATATGCAGACATGATTAAACAAATTTCTTCCCACTCTCTTTAGATCTGGTCAGAGTGTTTGTGTTCCAGTGAGAATTTCCTGTACTGTGGTTCTCAGAACAGCTTAGGAGCGTGTGCTTTTACCACTTTATACACAACACATCTGCATCTCATCAGTAAAGCATTCAAGAATTTTTTTCTTTTTAATTTCTTTATTTTTAGCCTCCTTCTCAACTCCCTGATTCAGTATCTGTTTTCTTAAATGACTGCACTCCGTGACTTCTCTGCATGAACTTGAAGAGTTGCTTCTCATGGCAGGTACGTGCAGCCTATTCATAAAACCAGATGACAAAAAATAAATAGAACATGTATCTCATGGGTGAGCTAATCTCAGGGCAGGGATAGCTCTAAATTCAGTATAAAACCTAATAAAGAATGCCAAATATTAATGACACAACAATTAAAAGGGTTTAACATCCAAAAATCACACAGATTGACTGATATCTTGTGTTGTTAATGACATCAACTTTTAAAGAATGTGATAATGATAATACAGAATTGTCTAATGTTGAAATGTTCAAGAGCAAAGCTTATGAGAAAGTAACTTTAATACAAGAATATGCAGTTTTGTAAAAATTGAGAGAGAAAGAGAAAAAGAAAGAAAGAAAGAAAGGAAGGAAGGAAGGAAGGAAGGAAGGAAAGAAAGAAAGAGAAAGAAAGAAAGAAAGAAAGAAAGAAAGAAAGAAAGAGAAAGAGAAAGAGAGAAACGCTTTGTTTATAGGTCACAACTCAATTTGCTGTGAACGATCTGAAGTCCTGAAGCCACACTTTGATGGTGGCAACTTCATACCAAGTTCAGAGTGCTGCTACATCTCTCCCCTCTAATGTTTTTACAAACTGATTGATCACAAATAGCCTCTGCAGAGATTAGGAAAGGACACACTCCCAAGTAGTATGCTGGGTCAGTGACAGGGTATGATGAATTAAATACTTTGGATCTGGATAAATTTCTGTTTGGTTTCTGACTTAGGTGACTACTAGCTTTGATACCTAAAGAAAAAAATTATTGAAACTTTTTTCTCATCTATCTAGTAGAAATCCTACTATTTAAAGTGTGAGTTCGTTGGGAAAATAAAAGTAAATATCCTTACACAAATTCATCAAACAGAATTTGAGGCCTTTTAATCTCTTACTACAAATGTCTAAGCTTCTTTGATAGTTTAAAAATAAATAGTAAATCTTCTAAAAATAGAGATTGTAGAAAAGAATATGTATGAACAACCTCACTGAATAATAAGGTAGCTAGCATAAAGATTTTGAAATTGGGAGGAGTGATGAATTAGAAAATAAGAACTTGTTTTAAAAATATTTTGTATACTGGCTGTAATATAACAAAATTCTTATGGCTAATGGAAATCTGCATGGTGAGATATTATTAAATGTGACAAATTAATTTTTTTTGATAAAATTTAACATCCAAAAATCACACAGATTGACTGATATCTTGTGTTGTTCATGACATCAACTTTTAAAGAATGTGATAATGATAATACAGAATTGTCTAATGTTGAAATGTTCAGTGACACAGGTGCTGTGTCACTGACCCATAACTCTAGCCCAATGTGACAAATTTTTACCAAAAATGCTGTAATGTAATGAATAAATTTTACTGTAAAGAAGTCATCTGTGAACACTAGATTTACATAGTAAAATCAGATAATAAATTCAGGAGAAAAGCACCAGTTGTGACAGTCACACTTCACAACTTAGTTAAAGGCAAAAAAGGGTAGTGGTACAGTTTTCTTATCCCTTAGCTTTTCTGAGAAACTGCAGGTAGAAAGTATGTTGTAAATAATCTATCATGTAGTAGTTTTAATCTATCAGATCATCATTTTACTCATGGATTAAAATAACGGTCTTGGTTTTCATCACTGAAAGCCAGATTTAAAGTTAGTAATTGCTCAATAATCTGATAACACTACAAGTCACAAAATGTAGTTTAGGGCTAGGAAGATAGCTTCATAGTCTAAGTCCTTGCCTGGCAAGTGCAAGGTCCTAACTTTGATCCCTGGTACCACATGCTGAGCTGGTCCTGGAACCCTGGGCGTACCATGTCATCCTTGAAACCTGGCATTGCGCTGCACACCCGTAAGCCCAGCACTGGGGAGGCTGAGACAGGAGGTTCACTATGAGTCTGAACTGTGTAGTGAGACCCTGCTTCAAAAGAATAAAAATTTTTTTAAAATGTAGTTTAAATCCAGAAAGCTTAAGGTAAAGGACAATTGTTCTTCATGATTACTTTTACATATAAGTGAGACCACACTCCTAAACATACTCAGATATACTACTATAGATAATTAATACCAGTCACTACATAATTAAGCACACTAGTGTGTGTATAGTTAATACTAGTTGTTATGTATATGTATTGGTTATTAACAACACAAATTGCTCCAAAAGAAATGTAACAATCTAGCAGATTGGTTACATTTTATTTTGTTTTTTTATTTTTTAACTTTTTAAAGAAAGTACAAATTAGAATTAAAACAGAAATAATTACAAGTGATAAAGAATTTCACTAGGGGCCGGGAAGATGGCTCAGTGGAATAAGCGCTTCCCTGGCAAGAGCAAAGACCTGAGTTCAATTCCCGGTTCCACCAAAAAAAAAAAAAAAAAAAAAAAAGAATTTCACTTAACAAAGTAATATGAATTTGTTGTAATGCAGTATTGGTTGTAATGCATAGTGTTGTCTTCCAACCAGTTATTCATATTATCAGATATATGCATGTAAAATTGGAAGAAGAAAGAAATGTATAAGAAATTAAGAAGAGAAAAAATACCAACAAAAGGAGACAAAATAAATTAAAGCATTAACTGCTCCCTTCCATGAACCAGCAAAAACACACAGTACAGCTGCTCAAACCATCCTTCTTGAAGACAAGATAAATATCTTTCCCCCACTCCCTCTCCTGTCCTTTTCATGACAGTAACTCTTTCCTTTTGAATAAATTTATTCCCCTTTCCCAGTATCTATTGTGCCCTTTAGATTCCATTTTCCTCTTTCAGCTTCTCACACTAAGGAGACATATGATGTTTGCACATGTAGATCTCATGGTAAAGACAGATGAGCAAAATTTAAGATCCAGATTTTTTTTTTGGTATTTCTTTATCAAATCACTGATACAAATTTCCAGAGATATGATAGCACATTTTGCTCCACATCAAATAAATTTCCACAAAAAGTTGCTAAAATAGGTGAAATTTTTGGTTCAATTTCCAAAATTAAATGATGGCTTTTTAACTGAAATCACTTATACTGCTAGCTCTCTAGCATAAACATTCAAAAAAAATTAAAAAAATGATATTTTGGATTTTGAATGGCTCACTTAGTTCCATAAAATATTTTCTGCCCCAGTATTTTCTCAATGTCCAAAGATAGTCACTTCCTACAAAATGTACAAATAAAATCTCAATTTTGTTTGTTTCCATGCAATAATCCTGAACTCATTGGTACCTATAAGTCATTATCAGGTGACTATAAAATTTCTGTCTTCCTTCTGTTTACCTAACAGACTAGGTCATGTGTATAAACGACATCCAGATCCCTGTATTTGACAACCACCCCTACCTTCAAAGTCTGCAAGGTGTGGTTTCTCCACCCAGCAGGTGAGATCTTCCCATGTGTCTACTGGAACTCATGGCCTGGAAGTGGACTCCACATTGCCTTTCCCCATCACTTCTGATGCCTGATGAAATGAAGAGTTTTTTGGATTAATCTCTACTGGTTTCTGCTCTTGAAAATTTCACAGCCTGTTTTTGTTCTTTAAATCATTAACCTATGTCCTCTGTCTTTCTGCAGTTTCTCATGTCACTCTGTGGAGATTAATTTCTGGATTCCTGGGAGTAATATGCCTTTCACTGATGGCTACTTTGGGAATTTTATTGAAAAATAGTAAGTGTCCCTTTCTACATACTGATAAAAGTCATGATCAAATAATTTAATAATGCATCTTTCATTTTACTAAAGTGTAATAATTTGTTATTTCATAATCCCATGCCTACTTAACAATATCTCTAATATTTTACAGCCTTCACTAAACAAAGTGTTCAATCAACAGCTCCAGTATCCATCAAAGGACTCCAGAAAGGTAGGTTTCATTGATTGGCAAACCTTATGTTTGATAACAGATTAAACCAAGTGTCTTGGTGTTTGGAACATAAGAATATTGCACTTAGTAATATAAATGTTCTGACTGTAGTCACATTTCTCCATTAATGTGAAAATGACTAAATTATATTGGATATGCAGGTGTTCACTTTATATTTCTGTCTCAAATACTTGAGGTAAGCAACTTATTTGAGAAAATGTTTAAAGGTTTATTTTGGCTCACAGCTGTGGAGCTTTCAACCTGTGCTGGGTTGGCCCTCTTGCCTTGAGGCTGGGACCAGGGTTCGTCCCTGGTACTACATGCTGCTCAGGCCCTGCCCTGGGCACTGAAAACTGGAGGATCACTACGAGTCTGAGCTGCATATTTAGACCCTGTACCAAACACATTAAAGCATAATAAATAGGTAGATAAATAGATAAAAACTATCGCTAATTCTTATTCTTATTTCACATTCCTTTTACCTTGTATAAATCCTTCTAGGATTCAGAATGCAGTACAGCAATTTTTGTAATTATTAATCTTATTTATTCAGTGAAAGCTAGCTCAATGCCCAAATTTTAATCTTTTCCAAATGTCTTCAAGTTGTGTCATTATCATCTATGAACTTACAGAACTTCACTTATATCTCATTCCAATGACTGCAAAGCACTCATCTGCCAATGACTGGAGTGCCTACCATGTGTCACAGTTTATTTAGTATAGATAAATTTGAAGATTCTGTCACTAATAAGCCTTTTGATCCAACTTGAAGGTAATTTCTTTATTTACCTTCATGGTTGAAAGATAATATATCTAAATATATCAGAATTTTTTATTTTTGAGGCAAGGTCTCTCTGTGTATCCAGGTTGGCCTTGAGCTCATGGTAGTTCTCCTGTTGCAGCCTCTCAAGTGGTGAGATTGCAGGCTTGTGCCACCATGCCTACCTCAAATATTTCAGAATTCTCTCAATATGTTATACTTTCTGGTGATTCAGGAAATATGCTAAAATATTTTCCTCCTATAGATCTCTTTCATCTACTTAACTTCTATTTTTACTAAAGTCAGTTTTGGATAACTTCCTTAAACTATTTTCTTCTAACTGTCTCCCCATCCTCTGCTTTACTACATGATGTTTAACCTCCCTTACTTTATTTTATCACATATATAATTATTATAAAATGTACTGAAGTGCCTGGCTGTTATTTACTGTAATTATGAATGTATCTCTACAATATAATCTTATCAGTAAAATGCCATATTTGATTTGTTCACATCAATATTTCTGAACTGTGGTCTATATAGTAGATTCCTAAAGAATATTTGTAGAAAAAAAATAATAAATGCAAGTAATGTTTTAATGACTAAATAGGATTGAAATCAATTTAAAATTGTCAGGGTCATCTGTCACATTGGTTTTTTTTTTTTTTTTTCCTTAGTACCTGACTGCTGTTCTTGCCAAGACAAGTGGATCGGCTACCAGTGCAATTGTTACTTCATTTCTTATGATAGAAAGTCTTGGGAGGAAAGTAGGCATTTCTGTGCTTCTCACAACTCCAGTCTTCTGCAGCTCCAAAACAGGGATGAATTGGCACGTACTTACTTCTTGTTTCCTACTACTTGACCCCTACAAAATGGTGTCTACATAAGGTGACGGCTTTGAGTCAGTTTTTCAGTCAGATACAAAAATAGATAAACTTGTCACTTATCAATTTCAGGTTGATTGAAACAATCATTATAAATATTAAATTAACATGTTCACATATTTATGCTTTAGGCATAAAAGTCTAGATAGATACCAGACAAAGTGTAAGAAACTTTTCAGGGAGAATTCAAAGAAATCCCAACATGTCATTGTTTTTACTAGTTTTAGTCAAAGAATCAAGAGGCTGTAAATTTTAGTTCTCTGTATAGAATTTATAATTAGTTATGTAACTATGTAGGATTTGTTCTTTCTGGGACATAATACAGAACTAGTAATGGATCATATGATTATGAAAATTACCCAATTCTTGTGAAATAAATGAAGTTCTCCAGGGGCATGCGGCATTTATGTTAGGTGGAGAAGGCAAGGCCCATGAAGTTTATCTTTCAAAATGCTATTCAGAAGAGATTAAATTTAACTATTCCTCCCCTTTTGAGAATTGTTTCTTGGAAATTCAACCTGACTGTATGATGTAAAAAGGGAGATTTATAGCAATTACTTTCTCCATAAAAGAATGGGTCTCATCAAGGAAAAAATTTAAGGCACAGGATTATAGCTTCTAAATGAGAAGAATGATTTCAGTTTTTGTGATGGACGGGCTCAATCTTATCCTGAACACTAACTTCCTTTAAAATACTGTATTCCTAGAGGAGATTTAAAATTATTTGTCTCTGTTTCCAAGTAGGCTTTTATGAACACCACCACAGTGCTGTTTTGGATTGGTCTCTCTTTTAATAAAGAACATGATACCTGGTTGTGGGAAGATGGCTCGGCTCCTTCCAAGAAGTTGTAAGTTTTTGGCCTTTCACATTTTTTTTGCTCTTTTAGACTATTTTGTTCTTTTCATGAGGGTCACAGCCAGTGGTTTCATACTTAAAAAAACCTGTGAAGGACATGAGAATACATAAAAGATAGACAAACCAGAATAGCAATCAACTAGCAAATCAAGTTTATGTTCAAGTGAAAGTTAGTGTACTTGTGACCATAGAAACTTTGATGCATGTTTCATTTTCACTTTTTTTTAATTTTTTTTTAACATTTATTGTGTGTGTGTGTGTGTGTGTGTGTGTGTGTGTGTGTGTGTCCAGCTCAGCCCACCAGGGGGCGCGGCTGGCTGGCATGTGGTGCTGGAGGATTGAACCGTGGTCCCTGTGCTTTGCCAAGCTTGTTCCAAGTAGGCGCTTTAGACCACTGAGCCATCTCTCCAGCCCCCTTCATTTTCACTTTTGTTCCAAGAATTTGAAAGCATGTATGCATATACAGATGCTAACGTATATATAAAGGCAATTCAGAGAAAATCTGTGTTCATCATTTTCTTTATTCTGCTAGAGCTCAATGTTCTTAGCATCTTCCATGTTCCAAATATCCTCTGCTTTTTATATGACTGTTGTAATATTTGAAGCTCATTTTCATTCATGAAGATGGGATTTGCAAAATGATACAATGGCAGATTTATGCTTTGGCTTGTTATACATGAAATCATATGGTATGTCATAAACAAAGTAAACCACAGCAATAAAATACAAAACAAAATTCATGAAACCTCTACCATCCACACTATTGATTATTGAAAGAAATAAGTTTGCATAGTACTGTACTCTAAAATTATGAAAATTCTGGCTATTGATAGAAAAATCGTAGTTTGTTAATCTCTCACTCAAATAGCTTTAACAGTCAATCCTTTAATGAAACAAATCTCCGTGAGTACTTTCATTTCTTTTTTCCATATGTTAATATTTTCCTCTTCATTACAGATTCCCATTGCTTCCAACTCCAGCTCCAGGGAAGTGTGTAGAATATAACCCAAGACAAGTGGCTTTGACTGAATCCTGTGGAAAGAACAATCGTTACATCTGCAAGCAACGGCTTATTTAAATGTTTCCTTGGGCAGATTAGTAGACAATAGAGAAGCAAGACTACTAAAAAATATCACCTTTTCTTCCTAAATTATTACTGCTGTCTACTTTTAGGACGTGTGAAATGTTTCAAGCTGTCTTACACAATTTTCAAATATTTGAAACGATGTGTTTTTAAAATGGAAGTTGTATGCCTATGCATGAAATTGTCAAGTATAAAGATACATAGTTATCTGAATTTTTAAACTGAATGAATATGTTTAACATTAAATATGATTTTATGCATGCATTCTGGTAAACTGTCTTTGAAGAAGTTTAAATAAAATTTAATTTATACCAAAGATTGTTTCAGTCTTTTTATGACTATTTCACTGGGCAGTTCCAGTTTTACTTCATTTTTCTAGAGTTAACACTAATTTTAAAGTTCTTAATTCTTTCTGGATATTCTTGAATGAAGATTGATGTAGGAAAAATGAGCAAGACAGGTGGAGAAAGTTTTGATACAAAATAAAATATCATTCAAATATTTAAAGTGTACTAAGAGTTCTTACACACTGTTCTTTCTGAGGATGTGAAGTATGTTAGAGGAATTTTTTCATAATTACAAAATTATGTATTTCTAATTAAAATTTTAAATACACTGCAAAATCAGTTTGGCTACCAGTTATCCCATCTCCTGATTTTTTTTTTTCCCATTAGACGATGTCTTCAGTTTTGGTTTTGTTCCTTAGTGTAATTTTTCATCTAATAATAGACCTTATCTATTTGTGTCCAGCATGACCCTCAAATTCTTTTAATTAGTTAAATCATTTATATATTTTAGGTTTTTTAAAAAAAATGTGTTTGGTACAGGGCCTCACTATACAGCTCAGAGTCTAGTGTTCCTTCTCTTTTCAGCCTCCCCAGAGCTGGAATTACAGACGTGTACCACCACACCCGGTCTCCAAGGCCGGCTCAGTGTGCCTGAGGGTGGGACTTGCAAGGCATGTGGTACTGGGAATGGAATGGTCCTTGCACTTGCCTAAGTAGGCACTTAGTCCATTGAACTATCTCACTGGTCATATTTTAATTTTTTGAGACACAGTCTTACTCTGTAATCCAACCTGGCCTGAAACTATGTAGCCCATAGTTGCCTAGAACTGTGTTCCACCTGCCTTAGTCTCCAGAGGGCTGGGATTGTAGACATGTACCACCACACCAAACTTTTTATTACATGAAAAAATAATGTATGTTTTTAATGTGTATGACATTGCTTTTTAAAATACATTGTCAAATATTTAATCTAGCATATTAACAAGTGTGGGGGCCAGCTATCTATAGCACCTGCTTCAGCAAGTTGAGGCAAGCATCCAGGGACTGTGATCCCCAGCACCACACACTGCACCAGCCCTGCCCCTAGGGTGGACTGAGCCGGCCATGCACACACACACACACACACACACACACACACACACACACACACACAGAAAGTGTTCACTGAAACAATTATCATTTTGATGGTCAGAATCATAACATCCACTCTACATTCAAGTGCAGTACGTAAGCACTAACTCCTAGCTCACAGATATAGACTCATTGGAATTTAGTCTTTGTAGTCAGCTATTTTCATTTAGCTAAATTCAAGCACAGATGTATGATGGGATTTTTCACTTCCTTGACCAATTAGGCATCCAGGACTTGATCTTGTTTTCAGAGAATCCACTACAGTTGTGAGAATGCTGAAAAACACAAAATATTAGGCATGGATATTATCTAATCTCGGATAGCACATAATGCAAAAAAAAAAAAAAAATTGTCTCTGCCTGAGAACAGAAATTTCCTATCACTTTCTGTTATAATTGAGATGCTATTTTTCAGCTCTCCTTTCATTTCAGGATATTTTTTTTAAATTTTTTTTATTTATGTGTGTGTGTGTGGCCAGGTCAGCCCACCTGGGGCGGGGCTGGCTGGCATGTGGTGCTGGGGGATTGAACCGCGGTCCCTGTGCTTTGCTAAGCTTGTTCTAAGTAGGTGCTTTAGACCACTGAGCCATCTCACCAGCCCCTTTTTCAGGATATTTTAATGAAAGCTTCTAACTGGAATGGAGGATGTTGGTCACCTAAGGCAGTGTCTTGTTATGACGTAGCATTGTCACTTTGGTCACATGCAGCTTGCACTCATATGACCTGCTTCATTTTTATTATGCATGTACCCAATGTTATCTAATTTTATTTTTTTGCTTCATCCAGAAAATATCTTTGTAGCCTTTTGAATTGGCCAGAGTTCTTTCATGCATACAACTTTCTGCCATGTTTTTTTTTTTTATTCCCTTAACATGTAATTTTTGATATATTTTTTCTGGGACGATACCTATTATGTTTGTCTGTCTGCCTATCTGTCTGTCCCTCCTATGAAATAGGCTAGTGGGCATGGAAGGATCTAGCCGAGTGACACATTTTGTGTTGGCTGTAGAACAGGAGAAGGGTAAGTAAATATGAACAGTATTGTCTGGAGTTAGTGTCCATCTGTAACTTTAAAGGCAAGCAAATGTGGTGAAAAAAAGTGTCAGTGTGATGGATACTGTTTATTTCAGTCTGTGTTCATTTTAAAAGGTTAAAAAATCAGTAATGCATGTCTGAAAGCAAGCTTTCAAGATGTTCACCAGTGGTGTGCGTGCCTAATTCTCTTCTGTCCTGGAACAGGGTGATTTTCATGCTGAGAGCAAGATAGGGGCCATTACAGGGTGTCAGTTCCAATGCTAGGTCAAAAAGAGAGTAGTTTTCCTTTTTTCTCCTCTTACCTCAAGTGGTCTGTGAGAAGCTAGTTATACTCTCATGAACACCCCTGGAGAAAGCATGTTACAGCGAGCTGAAGCCTCCAACAGACAACCTGTAGGAAACAAAGTCTGTGTCTTGTAGCTACCTAGTGAGATTTCAGATGATATCACTCACCTAACTTCTTGATGGATGTCTTGGGAGAGACTAACCCAGTTCCATCTTTCTAAGCTGGTCAAGGTTCCTAGTCCTCAGTTATAATGCTGGATAGCATTAGTTTATTGTTCCTGACATGCTAAGTATTAAAATAAAGTGTTAAATAACTAATGCATAGTTTGGTATCCATAGATGAATACTGTCACAGTGGAAAAAGTTGCAGTGCTTTAAACATCACTGTATATTCAACAACGGAACTTAAAAAAAATCGGGGTATACCGATGAATGTCCATTTTGTATCTGTGTATTCAAAGTGGTTGGGATAGATATATAGTTGCATTCTCTTAATGAATAGAATGATTTTTTCTAATGGTGTTTGTAAGTAGGATCACAAGTCTGCATCTTGTACAGCAATTAACCACTGAGAAGAATGTATGCAGTGTATTATTTGTTGAAACTGTACTTTCGATTTGATTTGAAACTGTCTCATTGCTATCTGTTTATCAATAAAACTTTGAAAAGAAAAAAAAAATCACTGTAAAAGTGGCTAGAGACTGGGAATACTGAAGGCCCCTAGTAAGGCCTGTGGAAGGCTATTATTGAAAAGTGGAGAAAGTTGCTCTCCATTAGTACCAGAAAGTTTATCAGTGCTACTGCTCATAGCATTGTGGGAAGCAGAATATGCAAGTAATGCATTAGAAAGCCATGTGAAGCTATATCTGGCAAGAACGTTGAAGACACTGCCTGATTTGTTACTACTTATGCAATGATATAAAAAATACATAAACTGATGATGGGACTATTAAAGAAAAAGAACTTGGAGCTTACTAGTTAAGCTCTTTGACCTCTTCAAATGTCAAAAAAGAATTACTTAAATTAAAAAGAAAAAACAGATTCTGAGTAAACATCAGATTTCACATACCCTTAGGGAAACATGGACTGCACAAGAAGTTGGGGGTGTAACTTTACCTGTAAATCAGAGAGAGAAAAGGGATGCCTCAGTTGAGCCAGACTGTGGATCTGAGAATGAGTGCTTCGTAGGCTGTCTTGGTCATGACACAGGGCTCTGGAAGGCTTTAAGGTATTGTCTCTCAGGTATCTTAGCAGACACTCCAGGTAGGGAAGCGAAGAGACTTGTATGTGCAGGATTTATGAAAGTAGTGAATTCTAATGTCATCCATAGAAGACCTCAAAATACTTTAAATACAATTATATCACTAAATTAGAAGCATGAATAGGTCAGACTGAGGTGGGCAGGAGAATCAATGAAATAACATAATATTGCAAACAGGAATCAAACAAAAATCCCTCTACCAAATCAGAAAAACAACCAGTCAGGTAACCAAAGATGAACTTTCACATTAAGAAAAGATGCTCAATTGCAATCATCATAAAAGAATTCCAACCACAGTACAAAGAAATCAAATTTCTCAATCATCAGGCAGAATTTTAAAGGCTTGGCAACCTATTATGGTATATGAGTTAGTGGGGAAATATTTATTTTTAGGCAGTGCTGATGGGAAGGAAAACTGCTACATTTCCAAGGAAGAAACCATCTTTACCACTGCTTTTCTCAAATAATTTTCAACACATAATTTAAGAATGAAATCTTTTTACTTTGGTGTCTTCGTATAGGCATGGATACGTATACATACCCAATACAAACATAGATTCAGCAGCTTCAACAGTTACAAATCATAAAGTCACTCTACACACTGCTCTGGTGAAGCCCCACAATATCATACATTCTTAGACATGTTTTCAAAGATTTCAAGATTATTTCTCTCTATGTTTAATCTATGAATCATTATTCCAGTTATAAGCATGAGTTTTGAATGATAATTATAAATGTTATTCTCTAGGTTTTTTCCTAATAATAAAGAAATCTCAAGCAGTATAGTTATTGATTAAATAAAATGGAAGAATGACTGAAATATTGTTTCATGCACATGCTTTGTATCACATTGTTTTTATTATAATTTATTTTAACTGATACATAATGTACAAACTATGCATATTGATGGTGTACCAACTAATGTTTTAGTAGATCATACATTAGATAATGCTCAAATGTGTTAAATATATGAATCTCCTCAGTTATTTTTCTCTGTTTCCTGTAATGTAAATCCAGGGTCTTTGCCTAGACTAGCATACTTTTTCCCTCCCTCCCCTCATCTCACCGTGTCCCCTCCTCTTTTTCTATTTTGAGACATGATCTTGATAAGTTGCTACATGAGGCTGGGGATATAGCTCAGTGACATAAGCTCCTGCCTGGGAAATGCAAGGTTCTGGGACCATCCCCAGTACCACAAAAAAAAAAAAGTTTTACATTGCCCAGGCTGAGCTAAATATTTGTG